CTGTGTCACCCAGGCTGGAGTGCAATGGCATGATCTCAGCTCACTGCAACCTCTGCCTCCGGGGTTCAAGTGATTCTCCTGCCTCAGCTACTCCTGAGTGGCTGGGATTACAGGCGTGCGCCACCACGCCCGGCTAATTTTTCGTATTTTTAGTAGAGACGGGATTTCTCCAGGTTGGTCAGATTGGTCTCGAACTCCCAACCTCAGGTGATCCGGTCACCTCGGCCTCCCAATGTGCTGGAATTACAGGCGTGAACCCCTGCGCCCGGCCCCTGTTTTTCCCATCTCCTCTAAACATTCTGGCTTCTAAATCACTCAGGCTCCCTTGTCTCCCCGGGACTCTATCGGCACTTCTTCAAACCTCTCCTGTTTTCCTCTCTCCTTCTGCTCCCGCCCAGCCCATGTTGCATTCCTTTCCTCTTAGCTTTCAGGACCCAGCCCTTCTGCTCGACTCCTTTCTGGAGAAAAGAAGGACGAGAGGAGGCTGAGGGCAGAGCTGAGATGCCTGCAGGCTGCATGCGGAGACCCTCGGGTTGCCATCTCCTGCACAGCAGCGCAGAATCAGAAGGGCCACCTACTGCAATGGGGGCAGCGAGGGGCCACCTCACGCTCCTCCTGTATAATATTTTGTCATTGGTGGGATGGTCCCAGGCTCTGGGATTGAAGTCTTTACCGGGCTGTGACCACACCCCTTGTCGATGGCCTGGGGGTTTTCAGCCCAAAGCTGAGCCAAGCCCTTGGAAAAATCCGCAGCCACACCTGTTGCTCTCGAGAAGTCTTTTTTTTCTTTGTAGGTGTGGCTCTTCCATCTTGAGGTCACAGGGGAACTGAGGCCGGAGGGAGAGGGACCAGGATGCCGAAGGAATCACCCAGCCAGCCCACTCATAGCCTGGCCGCTTTTCAGGAGTGATTTCTTCAGCTTCTTTCCCTCCATAGACACAAGAAGCCACCCACACTCACCTGACCAGCCGGAACCCAGGGGAGCCGGCCTTAATCCTGGCTTCCCTGCGGCTCAAAAGAATCTGGATCACAACAGGTAGGGTTAGATTACTCGCTCCAGCGTCTCACTTCACAGATGTAGAAACTGGGGCTCAGGGAGGGGCCTAGGGCCACAAGGCCAGTCCGGGACACGGTGGGACAGGCAGCCTGGACACCTGGCCTACCAGCCATCCCCGCGACCTCCCCAGCCACTGCTGCTTCCCTGGGTACCGTTTCTCCTACGCCATAAATCCCTTTCAGTTTGTGCTGCGTAGCCCTACAGTATGGTCAAGGGAGTAACTCTGGGGACAGGGATGGAGTCCGAGGGGCCACTTAGAATTCTGCCTTCCATAGTGCCTGAGGCTCCTGACTCCCCCACCTGGTTGGATCCCCAGGCAGCTCCTGGGAGGAAGTGCCCTCTCCCACCATTGCCTGCCCCTCCTCTCAATGAGACCTGACAGCCATCCCCAGTATGTCAGTTATAACAATGTAACCCCGTGGGGTGCACGCCCCGAGACCCCCACCCTTCTGAAGGCTGGGTCCCTCCTGGCCGAGCTGGCCCAGACCCACAAGCCTCTCAGCCCGTGGTTCCAGGTTCCCACCAAGGACCTGTGATTCTTGCAGGATGCCAGAGAAGAGGTGTCCACAAGACCCCAGCAGCGTTGTTCTCATTACGGGGTCTCCTCAGCCGAGATCCCTCACTCTCTTCTGGCATTCTTCTGGTTTCCTCACTGACATCATCAAAATTTGTATTCACTCATGTAATAAATATTTATTGAGAATGTGCTCAAAGTACTGGGGTAATTAAGAGTGGAAGACAAGGGGGCAAAAATGAGTCAGCTGTGAACCTTGCCTGGAGAGGGCTGAGCATAGAGGGGCTCAGAGCCAGCAGACTCCCGTCCAGGTTCTGAAACTTACTAGTTCTGTGACCTTAGCTACGTCAGCTCACTTTTCTGATTCTCAGTTTACTTGTCTGAAAAACTAGGATGATACTCACAGATTGTTGGTGAGAGACTGACTCTACAAATGGCCAGTGGCCAGAACAGACATAAAAATAGTTCTCTGACCCACAATCTGCAGCAACCAGCCCAGGAAGCTGGCCTACCATCTGCTAGCTACAAGTCATACTTGTAGGAAATCAGGCCCCAGCTCTAATGACTGGTCCAAGAAGTCAGCCAATTGACTCAACTTGGCCAGGACTTGATTTGTAATTGACAGTTTCCATAATTCCTTCCTTCCTTCCTCCCTCCCTCCCTCCCTTCCTTCCTTCCTTCCTTCCATCTTTCCCTCCCTCCCTCCCTCCCTCTCTCCTTCCTTCCTTCCTTCCTTCTTCATTTTTTTCAGGGTCTCATTCTCACCCGGGCTGAAGTTCAGTGGCACGATCACGGCTCACTGCTGATGTCCCAGCTCACGTGATCCTCCCACCTCGGGCCTCCCAAGTGGGTAGGACTACAGGTGCACGCCACCACACCTGGCTAATTTTTTGTATTTTTTGTAGGGGTGGGGTTTTGCCATGTTGCCAAGGCTGGTCTTGAACTCTTAGGCTCAAGTGATCTGCCTGCCTCTGCCTCCCGAAGTGCTGGGATAACAGGTGAGGGACCCTGTGCCTGGCTGAGTCACAAAAAAAACAAACATAAAACCTCCCTTCCTTTTGTTCCCAAACAGACAGCTGTCATTTCACATGCTTACTTTATCTCATTTAAAACATGTAAAATGTAGATTGATTGATTTATTTTAGTTTTTTTTTTTTTTTTTTTTTTGACGCCATGACTCGGATCCAGCAACATAGATTTATTAAGCACACCTCTTTTCATATGTAAAATGTAGATTCAGTGAGTGCCAATCAAAGCCTCACAACAATACAACCCCTTGCCTCATTGCCTGCTCTCTTGCTCCCTATTTTTTTTTTTTCTTTCTTCCTTTCCCTCCTGCCTGCTTTTCCCCTTTTAAATTTTTTTGTTTTTGAGACGAAGTCTTGCTCTTATTGCTCAGGCTAGAGTGCAGCGGCACGATCTCGGCTCACTGCAACCTCCACCTCCCGGGTTCAAGCAATTCTCCTGCCTCAGACTCCCAAGTAGCTGGGATTGCAGGTGCCCGCTAATTTTTGTATTTTTAGTAGATACAGGGTTTCACAATGTTGACCAGGCTGGTCTCAAACTCCCGACCTCAGGTGATCCACCCACCTTGGGAGTGCTGGGATTGTAGGGGTGGGTTACCGCACCCAGCCCCCTCTTTAAATTTTGAAGTCCTCGAAACTCTTTGGAGAAAGCAAAGGCCACAGATCTTACCGCAACTTATGTTTCTCTTTTTCTGGAGCATCCTCGACCTCGGCAAATAATCCTTTAAATCAATGGAGATCTGTCGCAGACACTTTCTGATTGATACCACCCTAAAGCTTCCCTACCCCGCCCACCTTTGAGTCCCTCTCAAATACAAGTGGTGGTGGCACAAGAGGGTGCTCCCACCGGGTTCCCTGGCCAGGAGTCCCAGCCATTTCAATGGGTGGTAGGAGGTCTTCCAGCCAGACCGGCCCCATCACCTTCACGGTTAAGCTGTTTCTGGCCCCTGTTTTTTTTTTTTTTTTTTTTGAGACGGAATCTCGAAGGCTAGAGTGCAATGGCGTGATCTCTGCTCACTGCAACATCCACCTCCCAGGTTCAAGCAATTTTCCTGCCTCAGCTTCCTGAGTAGCTGGGATTATAGCCGTCTGCCACCATGCCTGGCTAATTTTTTGCTTTTAGTAGAGACGGTGTTACACTATGTTGGCCAGGCTGGTCTTGAACTCTTGACCTCGAGATCCACCCACCTTGGCCTCCCAGAGTGCCGGGATTACAGGCATACAGGCATAAGCCACTGTGCCCGGCCCATTTCCAGCCCTTTTTCACAATCTTTCTACATCCCTGGGAGGCAGTTACTGGGTCTTTCTTTCATGGATAAAGAGCAACCTCCTCCCCCAACCCCACACACAGGGCCTCGAAGTCCCCTAAGAGACCACAGCCTTCCACTTAGAGCCAACTCATGTTCCTGCCCCTTCCCTCTATCTAGATGCGTCCCTTCCTCCATCCCACCCAGCTCCCGTGGCACTGCCTGCCCACCCCTTCCTCCAAAGAGTGGTGTGGTAAGGCAGGGGCTGTGGTGCCAGGGCATCTTGGCACGCCTCTCTCGCCCCACCCCGCCCCGCCTGCTAAATATATATCTTGGAGGAGTCCAGGAAGGAGCCGCCGCAGATGTGATTAACTCTTTGACCTCCAGCACCGTGGAGAGGGCAGGCTGGAAGGAGCAGTGGGAAAGGGGTCATACCCAAGGCCAGACTAGAGGAGCCCCTGCCCAGGCTCAGCTGGGGGATGGGAGGACCCAACCCCTCATGCCAGGCTGGGAGGACAAGGTCCTGAGGTTCCGGGAGGGAGCTGGTCTGTGTGAAAGAGACCCTAGTGCCCTCACTGTCCCCCCACCACCCAGCCCACCTCCACTGTTCAGAAGGAGGAAACTGAGTCAGAGGAGAGCACAAGCCTCATGACAATCGTCTGGCAAAGTCAGGCCCTGACCCACTTTCTCCAGAAAGAACTGAAAGAAGACCTCAATTCTCTTTCCTAGAGAAGGTGAGGGAGGCCGGGCAGGGAGCGCACCTTCCCCCGGGTGGGCCCCTTCCCAGGCCCCTGGAGTGAGGTATGCAGGCCTTGGAGGGAGGAAGCGCGTGGCTCATGGCGGGCCAGGGGTGACCCCTCACCTTCCCCTCTTTCCCAAGCGGCAGCAGCCAGCCCGGCCCCTCACTGAGAGCGGCCTGTGTGCCCCCCGAAAGGCACCCCAGAGGCTCACCAGGCTCTGCTAGCTAGGTTTGGGGGGTGGTGGACTGGAGAGGGTGGGGGGAAGCAGGGAGGGGAGAAGACTCCCAGGTTCCTGCCTGGTGACAGAGGGAGGGTGTCAGCTCCAGGCCATCTCCAGAAACATCTCCCCAGGGTCCCCTGCCTGCCACCGCTCCTGACCAACTGGGGGCTTTGGCCATCTCCCCCTTCTCACCTCCCTGACCCTTTCTCTATCCTGTTGGGTGGGGCCCCTGCCAAGGCCCAAACACTCTTGGAAGGCAGGAGGCCCAAGGCTGCTGCGAACAGGAACCACTGACCTGGGGCAGATCCAGGTGGGCCTATGGGGTGGGGCCGGCCGGACCCCAAAGACACTGACTGAAGTCCTGGGCCCCCACACCCCCGCAGGCCAAGCTCCCTGGAGTGGGGAGGGCAGGTGAGCAGAACTCAGGCCAGCAGGAGGGGCTGGCGGGACCCAGCGAGGTGGGCGGGGAGAGGAGGTGATGAATGATGAAAAGGCCTTCACACCCCTGTGCACAGGAAACCACCAAAGTCATCGGAGAAAACTGCGGGGCCCAGCAGCGCCAGGGCTGGCCAACCTCAGCGTGGCAGACGTGGCTTAGGGTGGAGGAGAGTGACAGAGGGTACAAAGCCCTCCCACCCACTACTTGGTGCTGGCTGCAGGCCCGGGGCAGGCAGTGTGTCTTCCTATGGACCTGGCTTAAAGGCCCGCTCTCCTGCTCCCCCGCCTGACCGTCCAGCCAGTCCTGCAGCGCCCCCTGCTGTCTGAGCTGACAAGGACATGCAAAAGAGGGAGGGGGGGCAGAAGACCCGCCAGGGAGCTCAGGCCACTCCCACCGACAAGGAGGCCAGGAGGGCAGGATTTCCAAGACCCACCCCCCAATGCCAAGGGCTGTCCCGTGGTCCCTGCCGGCCAGGACAACCAAAGGGTTCAATGTTTTCTTTTATTTTTTAGACAGGGTCTGGCTCTGTTGCCCAGGCTGGAGTGCATTGGTGTGATTTCAGCTCACTGCAGCCTCAAACTCCTGGGCTCAAGCGATTCTCCCACCTCAGCCTCCTGAGCAGCTGGGATTACAGGTGCCTGCCACCATGCCCCGCTAATTTTTATTTTATTTTATTTTTGTGGAGACAGGGTTTCGCCGCACTGTCCAGGCTGGTCTCGAACTCCTGAGCTCAAGCCATCCTCCTGCCTTGCCTCCGAAAGTGCTAGGGTTATAGGCCTGAACCACTGTGCCCTGCCGTCTCAATGGTTAATTTGGAAAATATGTCTTTTGCTTTCCGGGGCGGGCTGCTGAACAGATTCTGCAGGATCTCTCTGGAAGCTTGTCTTCATCAGGCCACCCACCCAGCCATTGATAAGCCATCTCGTAGGCCTGGGCATGGCGAGAGGAAGGGAACCTGGTCACCTTGTCAGAATCAAGGGACATTCATGTCTGTGGACTTGAGCTTCTATGAAAGATCCCAGAGCAGAAGAGACAGATGTGGGTCCCTTTTTTCCAGCCAGCATGCCTCTTCTTTCAGACTGAAAAAAAAGAGAGGAAGGGGAAGAGGAGCAGGGAACTCATGGGGAGAACAGAAGTGAGCATGGGGGTCAGAGAGGGGCAGCGGCTGCACGCACTGTGGGGCCTGAGACCAGCCCCGGAAGCAACCTGGGTGTGTTAATATCTATTCCAAAGACAAAAAGAAGTGTGCAGCTAAGGCCAGGCACAGTGGCTCACGCCTGTAATCCCAGCACTTTGGGAGGCCGAGGCAGGTGGATCATCTGAGGTCAGGAGTTTGAGACCAGCCTGGCCAACATGGCAAAACCCATCTCTACTAAAAACACAAAAATTAGCCAGGCATGCCCCTGTAATCCCAGCTACTTGGGAGGCAGAGGCAGGAGAATCTCTTAAACCCAGGAGGTGGAGGTAGCAGTGGGCTGAGACTGAGATCGTGCCACTGCCCTCCAACCTTGGTGACAGAGCA